TATATTATATTATATATTATACTGTATATTACTGTATATTATATATTATATTATATAAAGTTCTGCAGGTGCCATGGCCGGGGGCCGGCGCCGGTGCCCCTGGCGCCCCTGCACCCTCCCTGGGGCCAAGCAGCGCAGCCTCAGCCCACAGCCTCAGAAGCGCCTAAGTGGGGAGTGCCTTGGCTTCGGTCCTTTGTTTGCGCAGGTTCCAGTTGTGGGCTTGTTCAGTACATCTGAGCCTGCGTTGGGAGGTGTTGGCTGTGGCAACTTGCGGTGGATGCATGGTCAGGAGGCCTTACTTGGTTTCCTGTCATGCCCACACCGTGTCGAAACGTGCTACAAGCAAGGCTGGTTTGCAGAAGTCATGCTCCAAATGACACCTTGCTCGCCAGACCACCGGCCAGGCAGGTGTTGCGATTTTCGTTAGTTTCTTTCTAGTTTTTGGTCTTGGGCTTGGCGGCGAGGAAATGGCTTCGACGTGCAGTCTGGTCATCTGTAGCCTTCCTCGCCGCCTTCTGCTTCCGCGCAGCGCCCAGAAATTGCTGCGCAAAACTCTGCGTTCCAGAAACGGAAACGGAAATCTCTCTTGAGTTGAGGGCAGAAGGCAGCCGTGGCCGCAGGCAAAAGCCCGACCGCGCTTCGGACTTTTTTTTGCACGTCGTCCTTTCCAGGAGCGGCCGCCTTGACGAAGACCTGCCTCCTGAACTGGCTCAAGGCCCCGAGCCACTTCTCAACCTCTGCAAGATCCTGTCCTGTGTGAGGCGGGAAGACATTTCGTCAACTCTTCCATAGATGACTTGTGCTCTCCTCGGTCTCAAGCGCAGGGAAGAAGTGTCTTCGTTTTGCTTGTCTACCCTTTAAAAGGCTGATACTCCTCTTTGCCACGACCCTGATTGTGCCTCTGATGAAGAAGCTCCGCACTTCGCCGTTGCCCAAATTCGAAGGTTGTGGGCGATATGCTTGCGCCGGGGAATGCATGGTCGCTGATGACGCACGACTTCGGTTCTCACTGGAGCCTGCAGTTAATTTCTGGCTTCACTTGCTCTACGATACTATTGACAACGACCAAACACGCAGAGCAAGCGCCCCCAAGCTGCTCAGGGCAAGATGCACTCATCTCTGACACACTCCCAATACACGCAAGCCCTGTGTTAGTGCGCCTCGCAATGTCATTGCCGGACGACCGCAGTGGGACGGTCCGGGCGGATGATTTCTGGAGCCTTGTCATGCAAAGAATGTATTGCAAGGAAATCAGCACTAGTAAGCTGCTGAGAACTTCTTGAGGAAAGCCGTGGTCAAGAAAGACGTGGCTGTTCGGACGGTAGAAAGCATTCATGGCATGAATGCAGCTGAGTTGCAGATAGCGTTGGGATTATGGTAGAATTTCAGATTCAATGTGGATTTAAATTCAATAGCGTTGGAGGTTGTCCACATTTGCCAACCCATCCCGGCAGCCAGACTGGAAGGGATGTTTGGGACGTTCGGCTGGAGTTGTTCTTAGAGTAGTTCTGCCAACGTTCCAAATTCGATGGCAGAGCCGCAGCACAAGCTCCCGCCTCCCCACCCCACACCATGCACTAACTTGACCTCCGGCGCAGCTGTGTTCGGCTCCAGCCGAGCGCTGGGGTGGGATCGCGCCGCTCCCAGGCCCAACCCAAGGCGAGGCGATTGCGTGGGCTTAAAGGTGTTTGCACTTTCCCTGTCACCTGGTGCAGGTTTCGCCATGGCTGAAGCTGCTTGGCCGCAAAGGGTGGTTTGTGCTTTGAGACAGCTTTATGGTCACGGGCATGGTGGTCCGTGCATGGCAGGCGGCAGATACAATCAACGTGGCGGTCATCGGTGCTGGGTTCCTGGGCGCTCGCATCATCACGGAGATGTTGCTGCTGGGAAACCATGTCGTGCCGCACCCAAAAATGACACCGAATTTGAGAGCGCAAGCGCGGAATGGTACTCATGCGAGGCCGTTTACGATGCAAACATTGCCAAGCAAAGAGACCCTCAGACTGCCTTGAACGAAACAGTGGGCGGCATTCTCATGGAGTGTGACAGGCCCCATCCATGTGCTCTGGGGAGGAATCAACATGAACTTGCTGCTTTACTGTGAGCTACGCGGCAGGCAAGGCTTGTTGGGCATGGCGGAAATGGCATCGCCGAAAGGAGGTAAGTGGACACCCTATGCCAAGGAGCCTGCTCGGCAGGCTAAGGTCCCTCGTTTTGCACAGCAGTCGGGGACAAAGGAGTGGGTGCACTGTCCATGGGTGTGCATCCGAGGCTTGTCAATCCGTGGCGGAGGCAGCAACCAGGGCTCACATTGTGTTGGAAGCCGTCCCCGACAAGCTCGAGATCAAGAGCAAGGTCTTCGCAGAGGCAGTGTCAACTGCCCGGCCCGGTGCTATTCTGGCCACGAACACACTTTCCATTCCGCTGCGAAAGATTCAAGAGGCCCGGGGAGCGTGAAGCACGGCAGCGAATAGTCAGAACGCCGCGCTTCGAGATTCCACTTGCTCAGGCGGTGATGTCCGAGGTCACAGGATCTAGCGGAAGGGCTCTGCCCGAATCATTGAGACCGCGCGTCATGGGATTGAGACACCCGGATCACATGAGTAAGTGCAGGGGCTCTCCGTTTCTGTTTGCTTGAATCTTGGCCATGTCGTTCTTGAGCTTGTGTAAGAAAATGGGATCAGGATTCCTCTCGCCTGTGGTTTTCGTACCCTTCGTGGAGGTGACCCTTTCAGCCGAGCAGGCCGAGACTCTCCATGAGCATGTGCGTGCTGTTGCGAGAATGTCGTGCGAAGGAGAAAGGTGCGGACAAAGAAGACTTGACGGGGATGCTGCGGAAGTGGGGAAAAGCCTGCTTCATCTGCGATATCCAAGGTGCATAGCTTCCGGGGGCCGAAGCTGGGTTCTTGCAAGCGTCCGGGCAGGTGCCGTCGATAGTGTCGACCAGGACAGGATCGACTTCATCCGCGTGGCCCGCGAGCGACTCCGCCTGGACACCTCCACCGCACAGCGGCGCCAGATCGCGGAAGCGAAGCTTCGAGCAGCTATCCGCTTGGGGCCCGAGGCCGGGAGAAGCGGCAAAAACTTAGGCAGAGCACACGGGGATCATGTCAGGTTGTCCACCGAACAACCTCTTCCGAGCTTTTCACGGAGAGCAAGTGCTGCATCTGCCTCGATGCAGAACCTACTGTGCCTTCAATGCTTTGTGGTCATGTCGCTTTGTGCGAAGACTGTGCGGGTGTCGTTGAAAGCGGCACGAAGCAATGCCCAATGTGCCGTGAGCGGTTTGTACGTCGGATGCACAAATAGCCCTCAGGCCTCAGGGGCCCTCAGGCCCCAGGCCTGTTCCAAGGGAGACTGGAGAGCGCTGCCCGGTCTTTTTTCCCGATGGACTGGCAGCTTCCGGTTCCAGTCTTCCTTCGTCGAAGGCTAGCAGAGTTTCACCAAAGACTCGATTCTTGTGCTCATATGTCACGGAAGAGCTGCTTTACAGAACCAGGCACCCATCATAGCATCAGAATCTCAGAACATCGAGTCTTAAATTGGTAATGACCGGTAGCCTCCGGGATCACGAGGATCGCGAGGGTTCGGTGTTAGTGGAGGCCTTTTCGAGTGGACCGGGCTCTCACTTCTGAAGTTCGTGTTGTGCAGAAATGCTGTGTGCAGTTTCTGACAGATCCCCTGCTTTGTTATTATTGCTAGTGCTGTTGTCGCTGTTGCTGTTTCGTTTGCTGTTTGCATTGTTCATTGCTGTTGTTGCTGTTGCTGTTGCTGCCGGTGCTGTTGCGGGTTGGTGTTCTTTGTTGTTGTCTGTTCTTGTTGCTTCTCGTTGCTTGTTGCTTGTTTCTTGTTGGATGTGGTTGTGGTTGTTGGTGGTTGTTGCTTGTTGGTTGTAATTGTTTTTGCCGGCTGTTGGTTGCTGTTGGTTGTTGGTTGTGGTTGTTTTTGTTGGCTGTTGGTTGTTGTTGCTAGTGCTGGGCATTGCGCTGACCAGCACCATCTCCAGCTGCAAGCGACCTGACAAGCGGAAATCGAAGCTCCGAGGTGTGCCACGCTTGGCCTCGGCATTGTCAAGTTGCCTTGCTTCAGAGAAGAAGCGAAAAAAGACACACTTCACTGGTACAGGTAAGCTCCTACTCGGCTTGAAAGGGACGCCAAGAGGCACGCAGACATTTTCATCACCTCCAGATGTTCGCCTGGGAACAGGACTCGGTTGAACGACAATGCGCTGCCGGCTTTGGAAAAAGCTGCGCCCAGGTACCGTCGAATCTGCTAAGATGATCTGCGCTCATCACTCTCTCTTCCGTTCTTCTGTCCACGAGGCTGCCGCAGGAAACCTACGGCCACCACTTTAGCGAGACGACCTCTCACGGTGTCTCGGCGGTGGAGCTTCGAGAGGTGTTGCGTCATCAGCCGGCGCAACATCTGCAGAAATAGGGGTGGGACGGTGAGGTTTGATCCTCGGAAACCAACCGAAGTTGGTTCCACTAAGCCGTGGCCTCAGAGCTGATAGGGCACCTTTACTGTGTCCTCACGCACAGGAATTACCCGTGAGGTTCCAATGGGTTCAAGACAGCTCAACGTGAAGCCAAGGCCATGTTGTTTTCAGTGCTTTTGGTGGGGTTTCCGTGTGCCAAATTGCTTCGGAGCTGGCTGCTGCCGATTATGGATTTCACAGATCCTCCTGTGCTGACGTCACGGGTTGTTACCCCCAAATACATCAGCGTCGGCTTGGGTAGCGAGGTGCCGGTGCCGAAGAACCCTTCGGAAGCGCAAGCCGAGCCCCCCAAGCGCGAGACGAAGGAAATCCGGTTGCAAGCTGTCTCTGTCAGTGGGCATGCAAACAAAGGCTTTCCCTAATACAAGTGGTCATCCTACGCACAACAACAACCACAATACAACATGGCAGCAAGGAGGACAACAATCTTTTAGCAACCGCGCTAAAAACTGGTAACGCCACATGGTGGTGGTGGCAGTAGTAGTTGTAGCAATAGTAGAGTAGTGGAGGTGGTGGTAGAAGTAGTTGTGGCAGTAGTAGTAGTGGTAGTCGAAGCAGTGGCAGTCGCAGTCGCAGCAGTGGTTGTAGTGGCAGCAACTTTGTCGGATGGGAGGATATTGGCAGGATGCTTAGGCAGAGCAGGTAGCTGTAAGAACTAGGCTGCCAGATCTTTCAAGCCCTTGGTTGGGTTGTGGCCAAGGATGTCAAGCGCTCTCCCAACATTTGGGATGACAAGGTTTGGGGAAAGTACCAGGACTGAGAGCAGGCAGGCGGGTATGGAATAGATGAGGCCCAGAGGCCCATCCTCTCACAGATGCCATGTTCCAGTCCTTCAGGTCACTCAGTCGCTTGTTATGATTGAATGCAAAGCCTTACTGCCGGAAGACTGAACATGGCAAGCATTCGGAAGTCTCGTGCTGTAGAGTGGCTTTTTCCACATCTTTCTTCGTCTGTGAGTGCTTGCTTCTTCTTCTTCTTGCCTCTCTCTCTCTCTCTCTCATTTCCTCGCGCTTTTCTCGTCCTTCCTAGTGTGTGCCCTTCCTCCTCGGTCAGCCTCTGCTCGCTGCCCACACAAGTGGCTGCTTTCTTTGAGGCCGCCTTGCACAGGTTTTGCAGCTTGCAAAAGCAAGCTTGCATTGTGCTTGCTGCATATCCAGCTGACACTTGTCCAGCCTTCCCAGCAACAGGTGCGGCTGCAAATTCAGGCTCTTTCCTCCTCTTGCGAAAACCCAATGCATGGAGGACCCGCGCCCGCGCATGTCTGCATGCCGCAAAAGCGAGAAGCTGGATGTGTTTGCCGTGCAAACTGAACAGAATTAGGTGGGTTTCTGATGGTGAAAAACGCCCTTGAGGCCAATCATCGGGTTCTTGCTCATCGGCCTGATCCTGGGGCCAGCTGGTGCAGATGTGATCCGGCATATTGTCGGGCCTTCGGATCAGACTCTGGAAGGTCGGGGCAATCCCTGCGCTGCTCCCCCCCCTCCCAGGAGGTGAGCCATCGAATTGCCGACTTTGGCATTATCTTCTTTCTCTTCGAGCCAGCTTCTCAGTGGATGAATGGAAATGAAGGTTTCGATTGCAACAATGGAATACGGAAGACGCATCTTTTCGGAACATGTCAGGACTGGGCTAGAGCTTTCTGTCAAGAAGGTGGTCTCCATGCGAGGTGATGCTGCGCCCTCAGTGAAGCGAGGAGAAGAGGGCCCATAGACACCTGACAGCCGTTGATGTGTGACACACGGAGTTTGATATACATGTATTATATATATATATATACACACGGATATATATATATATATATATACACACACATACACACGCACACATTTGTATGCGTAGCTGGTTGTCTGTATGCCTTCTTACTCTCTCTCTCTCTCTCTCTCTCTCTCTCTCGCTCTCTCTGCATGAATATTTATATTCATGTGTATCTCAGTGGCTTGGTGAATTCTCAGGTCTTTGGACTCGGCATGGCCCAGTTTCTGATCACCGGTGGCCTGTTGTCCCTCCTCTCGCCACTTGGCCAATCATTCGTTCCACCCGCACTTGAAGATTCTTGACAGGGATACGACTTCATCGTTCTGCTTAATGAGGCCTTTGATCTCGTCTCAGCTGTCAACCGGAGCCTCCTTGCTGATGGGGGGCGGCCTGGCGCTGTCATCATCGGCACAGACCTCAGTTCTTGTTGTCGTCCCCCGGAGGGGGGAATGCGTACCCAACCACAGGAGTTCACATTCCATAAGAAGCAGAGCAACTTGACGAGGCACCACGAGTAGAACATGCTATTACGAAACATGGCGCTCCAGGCAAGAAGTATCACTGCACATGGCTCGCCGAAGTCTCGGGTCGAGCGCACGACCTGAAAAAAAACAGAGGGCAAGGCGCCGCAACACACTCGGGGGAAGCTCATGCCGAGCACGAGGCTTAGGGACAGCTTAGGGAAGTATGGAAAACAGGCAAAAGCGGTTCAGGGCTTAGGAGACAAGGCTGAACACAAGGTTCAGCCCGCACAAGGACATGTTGGACTCGCCAGCCTGCCGAAGCGGCGCCACGAGTCAGAATGCTGAGCCCCACACGTGGCCCACTTAAGTGAGTCACCAACACTTAAAGCAATCACACTCTCGCAGAATCAGGCGTGTGATCAGCACTCTTATCCAAGCAACCACTGCAACCTTGCGAGCATGTGCCGAGTGAAGTTTTGAACGAGGCCTTTGCTCTCCAGCTCTTGCGTGACAAGCGCCAATTGGGCACTCGCTTCGGACGCGCGCCAGGATCTCTGTCTCCATTGCTGCCCAGTGCGACGCCTTGCTTCACTGGCACATTGCAGGTCCTTGGGGGTGCTTCTGTTCCAGGACATGGCAGTGACACCCTGAGTTTGTGTGGGGCAGCGAGTGGAGTTGCAAAATGCATATTCTCCCGAACTGGAACGAGCTTCGAGGTCGTGCCGCTGCTGGTGCTAGCGCCATTGTTGGGTGACCCTGGTGGAGCTGCATTGCCGGTGGGCCGAGACTACGAATATGCTTAATGCTTGCCGACACCTGCATGCCGCTTCATGTGGCAGGTGGCCATAGCAGAGTCATTCGGCAAGGCTTGAGGGTGAAATGTGGTTGTTGCTGCTAAACACAAGCTTCATCGGATGATCACAGGCCGTGCTAGCTCTTGGCATAGTCGTAGCAACCGGCCAGCACGGCGCCCAGCCGCAGCGTGAGACGTGACAGAAGCCTTCGGCACCCGAGAGTGGGTGCTTAAGCCTGTTGGCTCAACATTCCTCCCGGGCTCCACTGCAGAGACTGCTGCCCGGACCTAGCCAAGATGTCAGAGCAAGTTCGGGTTGACAAGATGCCGGGTAGCAAAAGAAATGGCATGGAGGGCATGAAGGAGTGACCGAGAGCGAAAGAATGCAATAGCAAGAGACGGAAAACAATGCGAGATGTCTAATCTGTCACCGGTTTCTCCGATTTTGCGTGTCTGTTCCATTGACACCACAGATGAGAGCGATGCTTCACTGGCTGTCGAGGGAACCGTTCATTTTGCTGTATGCAGCACCTGTTGTGTCGTTTCCTCCGTCGTGTTCTAATGCATTTTCAGCCTATGACGAGTTGCAATTTTGGATTGTTTTTCTTCTAACTTGCGGTCCAAAACCTACGGATGAGAGTTCGGGACGCCGTTTTGTCCTGTTTGTGCAAAAGCCAAAGCCCGAGTTTCTTCCTTCGGCCACTCCTGGCGTTCGTGAAGCGCTCGGACTCCTCGGAGGCCCACTTAAGGGAGATTGGGAGGAGCAAAGCGAAGATCGCTCCTGTGCGTTTCCGTGCTTTCTGAGAGGCCTTCCTGGCTGTCACCTTGGGGACGGTGCTTCTTTCCTCCAGCCTCACACAGGTGCAGGGCGTCCGCAGTATGCGGAGATGGCGAAGATGCTTTTGGCTTCTGACAGCACTTCTTTCCACCCAGCCAGGCCTTTGGGCTCTCGGAGACCTTGGGCGCTTTTGTTGGAGGCGTCCTCGTCGCGGAGACCGATTACAAGCACCAGATCGAGGCCCATATTATTCGTGGCTACTTGCTCTCCTGCAAGGTCTGGTCTCTGCCCCCCGTGCATCTGCAGTGTGTCGGCTCCAGTAGCATGCCCGGGAAAGCAGCGAAAGACAGGCTGTATGAAGCTTGGCCGATGTGGTGGGAACAAGCCAAGAGCGGAAGACATTTCTGGAGAACTAAGGAGACTCTGGCACAGCACCGCTATCTGGACTCTACTCACCATGCGCTGAATGAATATGTCCAGAGCTAAGTTGACATCCTGAACATGAGTTCAGAGTGAGAGGAGGGTCGAGAGTGGAGGGAGCTGCTTGCAAAAGAGGCATGTCTTTCGGTTTCACACGAGAAACCTTGGGCCTGTCTGCAGCAACATAAAACTGAGAACACGCCCTGCCCGGATGCAAGCAGTGGAGTCACATGGCCCCATGGGATGTTGAAATCAGCAACTGGACGAGCCACGAGTGACCGCAGAGGTAGAAGCTGCAGCTTGCGGATGACGTCCGTGTCGATTACACGGCATGCTGTCCAGTGTAGGTAGGGGCGAGCAGTGGCCAAAAATGTCCACACGGTCGAAGTTGCGAGTGTCTGAATAAAGCTTCTTGACTCCTGGAGCTTATGCGACGCTGGTGGAAGAGCAGGCCGCAATTGATGCGTGCCAGCTTGCGGTTTGAAGGTGCCAGATGTCCCTGACACAAGCTACTCCTGGAAGCCACAGGGCGTCGAGTGATGCAACGACATCCGTCCAACCTTTCGTGGCCCCTTCGACTTCGAGCTTGGAGTTAGGAAGAGCTTAATAGTATGGTCGCAGCAGCGTTCGGAACCGAGGTGAGACAAATACGTCAAGCAAGTGAGGACCCCGCGGCTGGAGATGTCGAGGACTTGTTGGACCGGCTGGAGCAGGAGACTTGTTGTTGTCTCAACTCGCAAGATCGCCATTCTAAGCTGTTTGTGTAGATCTTGGAGGAAGTGAAGGCTGAGGAGGAGACGCTGGCTCGGGCATTCAACCTTTTCGACAATCAGAAGACGGGCGAGCTCGAGCTGCTTTGAAGAATTAGCAGTCATCACATGGTTGGCGCGAGTCCGAAGGCTTCT